CACTATCCATCATTCAGAGCGATGAGCACATTAAGTTATCCATTCAAGCTGCAATGGAGACCATTGTACTAATGAAGAATGATAACGACGGTTCACCTTTTCTACCTCTTGCTGCTGATAACTTCAAGAAAGCCTGTGTATGTAATATATAAACATACCTCTCGTTATGTGTCATTGTTGTTGTTTAGGTTGTTGGTCCTTTTATTGAGAATCCTGATACCATGTTTGGAGACTATTCACCAACAATGATGGTATAAACTACATTCAGAAGTCTCCATTTTTATAATTCTTCTGATACATATACCATATAGTGGGTATATTCCGTTCGAGTTTAATTTTGTTCTCATTCCTTGTGGAACGAACATTTTCCAAACGAAAAGGGTGTTTCCTCAATGCCATGTGTGCAAAATAGCTGCTCAGAACAAAAATAAAACAAACGAAAATTTCTAGAACGAACATTTTTCCAGACAAAATATACCCACTACACGGTACATGCTCTTATGCTGTACATGTAGAAAGTTTGAACTGATTCCGATCAAAATTTGATTTTTACAAATTTTTTAATTTTGCTCAGAAATTTTGCCAAAATTAAAAAGCAGAGAATTCTTCTTTTTATAATTTTACAGCATTTTCCCCTCTATTTGCTATAGACTGATTATATTGTGACTCCATTAGCTGGCATAAAGACAACTCAAATTGGATCAGATCTTCTCAATTATGAAGAAGGCTGTACTGATGGGCCAGCTTGCGAGTAAGCACATAACAAGCTGGTGCAATATTTTTTGCACATTTCCTTAGAATTTATAATAGCAATAAGGTCCGCACAGTTTGTGAAGGTGTTGATCTGGTTATTGTAACTGCTGGCCTAAGTAAAGATAGAGAGAGGGAGATAGATGAGGCTGTTTTATGCTATATTGTTTAATTATTATAGGTAGATATTTGGAACATGAAGGGCATGATATCTCCAAAATAAGTTTACCAGGACATCAAATGAGTTTATTGACTGATGCAGAATCTGCTAGTGGAAGTGGTAATTCCTATATACATGTACATGCATACTGTATAATAATAGTTCCGGTTTATTTTTGGCATTTTTTAAAATTTCAGCTCCTATAATACTTTTACTGTTCAATGCGAACCCTCTTGACATCAGTTATGCTAAGAGCAACCCACGCTTTGCTGCTATATTGGAAGCTTATTACCCTGGACAGGTAAATAAAGGCCCACTGGCTAGGGGCTATGACAAGTATTTATTACCTTTTATAACAGGAAGCTGGTGTGGCAATAGCTAACGTCCTCACTGGTAGTTATAATCCTGCTGGAAGACTCCCCAATACGTGGCCTGCTAGTCTTGATCAAGTGCCTGACATGATTAACTATACTATGAAGGAAAGGACGTACAGATACTTCACACAAGAGCCTCTCTACCCATTTGGATATGGACTGTATGTTATCTATTGATTAAGTCTCTTTTTTACTTGGTTTTTTTCTTTTTACCCCCCCCCCCTCTCTCCCAAGGTCATTCACTACATTCAAATACTCAGATTTGAATGTTGCTTCTACAGCAAACACTAATGGAGAAGGTAGCATTACTGTATCAGTGACAGTCACCAACACTGGTACTATGGATGGAGATGAGGTGATGATTGATATATAACTTAATACATTATGCTCTGTAGAAAATTTTCAGTCAATTTTGATTAATTAATTTTGGGTTGTGGGTATCTGATGTATGTGATATGCAATTTTGATTCAAAAAAAGACTGCTATTATTATTATTATTATTGTCCTGTAGGTTACTCAAGCTTATGTCAAGTGGGACAATGTTGCTGAAGCACCAAATATACAATTGGTTGGAGTTAGTAGGAAATCCATTTCTAAAGGGCAATCAATAACAGTAAGTAAAAACACAATTAGATCACAACATGTTTATTTTAGCAACTAAATTACTACCATTCTTTATCATTATATTCCTTTAGGTCTCATTCACCATCAAGCCAGAGCAACTGCAAGTGTGGACCGACGATGATAAATGGTCCATACCTGAAGGCACGTACTCTTTATTTGTTGGTGGTCAGCAACCAGATCAAAAAGTGTCTGTTCCCTCTAATGTCCTCAGTGCCACCTTCAAACTTTAATAGAGGCCAGGAGGATTGGACTGAGGGAGACATTAATTATTAATCATGACGTTTAACTACTTTAGTGCTCCTTTCATTCATCTTCATCTGCTATTACAATGTTTTATAATATCTATGCTTTTTTGTTCTTACGATATTGCACAACTTTTGCAAACTGTTTTTGTAATGATAATTATGCATGAAAATTTCTCAAATCGTGATCCTACGATCGCACACACCTCCGGACACACCTGCATATCTATACCATAGATACCCACATTTTAAATTTCCTCGACCCTCGTAATCATTTTTTGTCAATTTTTGATCGCGATGGAGTTGCTGCACTTGCTGCTGTTTTTCTCTCTTGTATTCTCTTCTTTGGCTCTTGGTCACAGCTATGTGCCTGAGTTCCCTTTCCGAGATCCCTCTCTACCCATTGAAGAAAGAGTCAAAGTAAAGCAATAGCCGAAATTATCACTCTGTGTCCATGCTCCGTTATGCAGGATATTGTTGATCAACTTAGTTTAGATCAGTTAGTAGAGCAAATGGCTCATGGTGGTGCTGGTAGTAATGGTATGTCTGTCAATATATCATGATAGTTTGCACACAATGTTACTGTTTAATGCATAATTTATGGTGGTGTTGGATTTCTACTAGTCTCAAATAGTAGCCTTTAATTTTATTCTCTTTATGTATCGTTCTTTCTATCAGGTCCTGCTCCCGGTATTCCCAAATTTAACATAAAGCCTTATCAGTGGGGGACTGAGTGTCTCTCTGGTGATGTGAATGCTGGTGATGCCACCTCATTCCCAATGTCTATAGGAATGGTGAGGGAGGAGAGAGAAAGAAAGAAAGAAGGAAAAGAGAGGGAGGGATTTGAGGGCTAACCACCTCATGCTTCATGTTCAGCCTGTGTTTAGCATGCTCTGATGGTTTAGTGGTTATTATGTGTACACTGACCTATCACATGATTATATTTAATTAGCTGGTGTGTGTGCCACTTGCATGTTTTCCCTCACTTCAATTGATAAACAAAGAGTGTACATATAATATACTATTATTATGAATAGCTGTTCAATAGAACATGTAGCTCCTACAATTCAATTTACATTGCATGTAACGCCTACATGCAATGTAAGGACATATATAATGCAAAAGTAATGGTTAGTATATTCTGTGTAGTATGATCATTGTTTATACAATATTCCATTACTTTTGTGTATCTTGTCATTCTGTGCTATGTATGCTTTTGAAAACAATAGACTATGAGTTTTGTTAATGTTATTATGCTCTGTCTTCAATATGATAGGCTGCTAGTTTCAATTATGATCTATTGAAGCAAGTATCCAATGCTACTGCCTACGAAGTGAGAGCTAAAAATACTGCAGCTGTTCTTAATGGATCATATGCTTTTCATACTGGACTCAGCTGCTGGTAAGGAAACTACATGTATAATGGAACTTGGGAAAGTTTAGTAGATGAATGTGAAACTGCTTTCATAATAAAGAATTGAGTTTGTTTTTGTTTGAGATTGTTTTAATTCCCAGGAGCCCTGTGCTGAATATAATGAGAGACCCACGTTGGGGAAGAAACCAGGCAAGCATATCAAAACTAAATTTACCTGTTGATAATACTCGTTATACAGGAGACGTATGGAGAGGATCCATATCTATCTGGTTATTTAGGACAAGCTTTTGTCACTGGATTACAAGGAGGTGATTTATTTTCACCTTTCTAATTATTTTATGTTCATTTTAATAGATGATCCTACTTATGTGATTGCTAATGCTGGCTGTAAGCATTTTGATGTACATGGTGGACCAGAGGACACTCCATTGCCACGTGCTTCATTTGATGCTAACGTAAGAAAACCATACTTTACTTATAATCCTCCCACTAAATTAATGATACTACTTTGAGAATAAACTGCACCTGATAATTATAATTATTATATTATACTAATATCATTGCATAATTCAATTTTTAACTTTCAAAAGTAATGCACTGTCTTTTCTTTCCATGTCACAGGTTACAATGATAGATTGGCGAATGACGTTTCTTCCTCAGTTCAAAGCTTGCGTTGAAGCTGGAGCTCTTAGTCTTATGTGCAGTTACAACAGGTGGAAACACTGCGTAATTTATATTTTGAATTTGTGCGTATTTTTTTATAGAATAAATGGTGTCCCTGCTTGTGCCAATAAAAAGCTCCTCACAGATATATTAAGGAATGAGTGGAATTTTAAAGGCTACGTAGTGAGCGATCAAGGAGCATTAGGTATACATGAAACCTAATATCACTTATTCTACATGTTTATCTTCAATTTTCTCTGCCTCATTTTATATCATTCTTTTTTGCCTCTGCTCTCTCTCTCTCACTCATTCTCTCCTTACACTTTTCTTTTTCCAGAGAATATTGTCACACAGCATCATTATGCTCCTGATTTTGTGACAGCTGCTGCTGATGCCGCCAATGCTGGCACTTGCCTTGAAGATGGCAACAGTGAAGGTAAAGGTGGCAATGTTTTCGATAACCTTGATGACGCTGTTGAAAAAGTACTTAAGAGTTTCTTTATTCCTTTTACTTTATATTTCAACTCTTCTTCCTTCTCACACCTGTCTTTAGGGTCTTGTTAGCGTTGATACTCTTAAAGATGCAGTGAGTAGGTTGTTCTACGTTCGTACAAAACTAGGAGAGTTTGATCCACCTGATAATAATAACCCTTATGCCAAGTAAGAGAGAAATGAAGAGAAAACTATGATAGTATATACAATGTACATGAAGGATTACATTGTCATTTGTAAATTGTTTTTAATATGAATTTTTATTCTAGTATTCCACTATCCATCATTCAAAGCGATGAGCACATTAAGCTATCCATTCAAGCTGCAATGGAGACCATTGTACTAATGAAGAATGATAATGATGGTTCACCTTTTCTACCTCTTGCTGCTGATGACTTCAAGAAAGCCTGTGTATGTATTATATAAACATGCCTCTCGTTATGATGTGTCATTTTGGTTTAGGTTGTTGGTCCTTTTATTGAGAATGCTGATACCATGTTTGGAGACTATTCACCAACAATGATGGTATAAACTACATTCAGAAGTCTCCATTTTTATAATTTTTTCTGATACGTATACATGCTCTTATGTTGTACATGTAGAAAGTTTGAGCTGATTCCGATCAAAATTTGATTTTTATGAATTTTTTAAGTTGCTCAAAAAATTTGCCAAAATTAAAAAGCAGAGAATTTTTCTTTTTATAATTTTAAAGCATTTTCCCCTCTATTTGCTATAGACTGATTATATTGTGACTCCATTAGCTGGCATAAAGACAACTCAAATTGGATCAGATCTTCTCAATTATGAAGACGGCTGTACTGATGGGCCAGCTTGCGAGTAAGCGCATAACAAGCTGGTGCAATATTTTTTGCACATTTCCTTAGAATTTATGATGGCTATAAGGTCCGCACAGCTTGCGAAGGTGTTGATCTGGTTATTGTAACTGCTGGCCTAAGTAAAGATAGAGAGAGAGATAGAGGCTGTTTTATGTTATATTAATTGTTTATTTATTTATTATTATTATAGGTAGATATTTGGAACATGAAGGGCATGATATCTCCGATATATATTTACCAGGACATCAAATGAGTTTATTGACTGATGCAGAATCTGCTAGTGGAAGTGGTAATTACTATATACATGTACATGCACACTGTATAATAATAGTTCCTGGTGGTTTATTTTTGGCACTTTTTAAAATTTCAGCTCCTATAATACTTCTACTGTTCAATGCAAACCCTCTTGACATCAGTTATGCTAAGAGCAACCCACGCTTTGCTGCTATATTGGAAGCTTATTATCCTGGACAGGTAAATGAAGGCCCACTGGCTAGGGGCTATGACAAGTATTTATTACCTTTTATAACAGGAAGCTGGTGTGGCAATAGCTAACGTCCTCACTGGTAGTTATAATCCTGCTGGAAGACTCCCCAATACGTGGCCTGCTAGTCTTGATCAAGTACCTGACATGATTGACTATACTATGAAGGAAAGGACTTACAGATACTTCACACAAGAGCCTCTCTACCCATTTGGATATGGACTGTATGTTATCTATTGATTAAGTCTCTTTTTAAAATCTGTTTTTTTCTTTTTTCTCTCTCTCTCTCAAGGTCATTCACTACATTCAATTACTCAGATTTGAATGTTGCTTCTACAGCAAACACTAATGGAGAAGGTAGCATTGCTGTATCGGTGACAGTCATGAACACTGGTACTATGGATGGAGATGAGGTGATGATTGTTATATAACTTACATATTTGAATACATATGATGCACTTATGCTCTGTAGAAAATTTTAATTAATTTATTTTGGGTTGTGGGTATCTGAAGTACTTGATATGCAATTTTGATTCAAAATAAGATTGCTATAATTTTATTAATATTGTTTTTGTTATTATTATTATTTTATCATCATCATCATCATCATTATTATTACTATTATTTATTATTATTATTATTGTCCTGTAGGTTACTCAAGCTTATGTCAAGTGGGACAATGTTGCTGAAGCACCAAATATACAATTGGTTGGAGTTAGTAGGAAATTCATTTCTAAAGGGCAATCAATAACAGTAAGTAAAAACACAGTTAGATCTACATGTGTCATTGATGCTATTTTTAGCCACTAAATTACTACCATTCTTTATTATCATTGTATTCCTTTAGGTCTCATTCACCATCAAGCCAGAGCAACTGCAAGTGTGGATCAATGGCGATGATGGGAAATGGTCTATACCTGGTGGCACCTACTCTTTATTTGTTGGTGGTCAGCAACCAGATCAAAAAGTGTCTGTTCCCTCTAATGTCCTCAGTGCCACCTTCAAACTTTAATAGAGGCCAGGAGGATTGGACTGAGGGAGACATTATTAATTATTAATCATGACATTTAACTACTTTAGTGCTGCCTAATACTCCCTCCATTCATTTTCATCTGCTATTACCATGTTTCATAATATTTATGCTTTTTTTTGTTCTTAGGATATTGCACAACTTTAGCAAACTGTTTTCTGTAATGATAATAATTATTTACTGGTTATTGTCATGCATGAAAATTTCGCAAATCCTGATCCTACATTGTGAACTTTTATGAGTCCTGAGCTTACACTGTTCTTTGTTGCGACCAACAACTAGATGAAGCGATTGCTTTTTGGTTACTGAATGAACTGATTGAGACATTGCCTGCTTTTAAGCTTGATTTCTAGCTCTTGAATGTTTCTAATGCTTCAGCTGTAGACCTTTCTCTAGCTTTGTTTTCTTAATCCGTTTATCTTCTTCTGTCACAATATTTGCTTTGATTAAAGGAAGTTATCTTCTCCAATCAATTAATAGATATTCAAACACTGGTTATGAATTTTATTAGATTGCCTATAAAAACAGATGAGAGGAGCAGGAGCTGCAATTGCTAAAAGAAGCATTCGGCAGGATGGCAGCAAAAGATGTGAAGTGCGACATGCTCTCTCATGTCAGCAAGCGCTATGAGAGCAAGCCAAGGGACCCTGATAGTGTGTGGACCTGTGTCAATAGTCCTGACTTGCCTCCTTTTGACTTGCAGCCACCAAATAAAAAACGTAAGTTCTTGTTGTTTAATAATGCCAGCAATAGATCCTGTTCATCATGCAATAAATGCCTTTTAACAAAGACTAGATTGCTATCCAATATTTGTCCTAATGATTTTATTATTTATATATAGCTGGGCACTTTTATTACGGTCTTCGAATTGTTACTGGAGATCAGAGAGAGGCTGATGCACATGACACCGCAGTCTATGTCAGGCTGGAAGGAGCCAGTCACTGCACTGGAGACATTAGAATTGGGCAAGAAGATGGACTCTGGACCATCTTCAAGGAATATTTTGGTACCTCAACCTATGATGACATCATAATCGAATCAAGTGCCGAATTACAAGTGGAGGTGTTTACAGTTGGTTTAAAGTTCAGATACCCGTCATCAATTGCTGCTAAAAACAACTGGTATGTTGATTTCATGCAAGTCCATGACCTCCAGTCAACATCTGGAGAGCCAAAGACCTTTTCTTGTTATCATTGGATAGGTCAAGGGACAAATGAAGTGTCCTGCACTTCTAGGAATGGTGAGTTAAACTTCATTGCATGCATAGACTATGATGCTAATCCTGTCATCATGCAGTTATTGTATTAGCGAGACTATCATTGTAAAAATGTCTAGGCTAGCTCTTACATCATTACTATCTAAGAGTAGAGTTTGGGTTTTGTGGTTATGTACATATTGAAGGGACAAGGTTGATATTTGTTACTTTTTGTGCAGCTGCATGCAAATGAAATTATGATTTTTTATCTACATAGTTATTGTTTAACAAACACGCATTAGTATGTTATTGTACAAGATATCATCTTTTAAGTGATATTTTTCTTTCTTTCAGCTACTTGGAAAGAAATACAAGACAACCCAGTACTTGTGAAGCAGCGATCAGACCAGCTCAAGAAGAGGAGAGAGGAATACAAATGGAAGCAATACTCAGACCTTGGCTACCCTTCTTCAATCGATGATGTGACCAATGACACCATTCCCCTTGACGAAGAGTTTGAGCGCACAAAACAAGAGCATTTTCTGGGAACCTTGGCAAAAAATCAAATTGTCGGTGCTCTCACGGGCATTAAAGTGTTCCTTGTGCAGGCCTTTGAGAAGTTGACTGGCCTGTCTCTAAGTGAGGACAAGTCCATGACGACTCTTGATAAATATGAAGACTTCACTCTTCGCATTAAATCAATCAACAAGGATGAAATAAATGTGAGTGGCGCTTTTTCAGTCCACGAGGGCTACCGTTGGGTGAGTGACGTCGAGTTTGGTCGCCAGGTTTTGAATGGGGTCAATCCTCATATCATCAGGAGATGCACGTCTCTTCCTCAATACTTTCCTGTTACTCAAGAGCTCATTGCTGGAGTCCTTGGTGCTGATCTTGATAAGGAAATGAAGGTAATAAATGCATTTTCTGTGTATGTATTGAACTATTAATGCATTATATCATATTATTTGCCTGACAAAGTATTTAATGTGTATAAGTCATATTTCATTGAGAATTTTGAAAGACGTGTATGTAGTGGTTGCCATTCAACCCCATGCTCCATGAAATAAGCTACACAATGTAGCTACTATTATCATTAACAATACAAATGATGGTAACAAAGAGATTAAACAACTGTCAATAAATTGCTCCATAATTCTGACCAGACTTGGGTTGAATACAACATGAAAGTACTTGATACAAATACAAACACTGTACAAAGACAACAAATGCAAATACAAATACAAATACTGTTTACAGTTTGCAGCTTTGTATTTAAATACAATTACAATTACGTACTGCATGCATGTATTTCAATTACAATTACAATACATCCTTCTCAAGTATAACAGTTATCAACTAGCTTCATTAATTAATTGATCAAATAAATTGAAAGTCTCTTTTCATTGTGTCTGCATGTATAATCAATTTTAGTTGCATTTGATGAACATTAGTGTTTCAAAAGTTTTGTCACTCAAATGGCATTTTTCATTCACATCAAAGTATTTAAAAGTATTTCACTGTATTTTGAAATACTTTCATGCTGTATTTCTGTTGCAATACAAATACTTCCTGTTACGAAGACTGAAATTAATCACAAATATAAATATTTTCAAAAGTATTTAAATACGACTAATTACAAATGCTATTGTACTTGACCCAAGTCCGATTGTGACAATAATTTATGCTGTAATGTCTTGCTAATAGGATGGTCGTGTTTACATTGTTGATCTAAGTGAGATTATGGATGGATTGCAGTGCAGGGATGGTTGCTATTGCCCAGCTCCTACTTGTCTACTGCATGTCAATAGGATGGGAAAACTTGTTCCAATTGCCATACAACTGAAGAGGAAGCCTGGAGATGATAATCCCATCTTCTTACCAAGTGATACCTGGATGGACTGGCTTATGGCTAAGATCTACTTTAAAAGTGCGGAGGCCCAGGTACAGTGCAACAATAAAATAACAAATACCAATAATTACTCAAAAATCCACTACGGTACATACTTGGGTTGTTTTTGTAAAGCAATAGATGGTTTAGAGCAGATGTGCACACAATTATTGTATGCACTCTACTATGTAGCCACACACCATTGGTGCATTACAAATTGCCCAAGTGTAGTAGCTTGTGTAAATTTAGTGCATACTCCTACATGTACTTATCACATCTCTTTTCTTAATTTATAGTTTCATCAACTCTCCACTCATTTCAACTCTTGCCATGCTACAATGGAGACGTATCACGTAGCAACAAAGCGTAATCTCCCTGACTCTCACCCTGTGAGTCGCTTGCTCCTACCTCACACTCGCTACACAACAGCCATTAACACTGCAGCCAGGGACAAACTAGTGGGTGATGGAGGCGTCATTGATCAAGCATTTTCTATTGGAGGAGAGGGAAAGAAAGAGTGTTTTCGCCGAGCTAACAGCAAACACAATGTGATGGACTCCCATATTATGAGTTCTATGAGAGAGAGGGGAGTTGATGATTCTGCCTTGCTGCCTGGCTACCATTACCGTGATGATGGGACTGAAATATGGAAAGCAATCGAGTCGTTTGTAACAAGCATAATAAATATTCATTACAAAAGCGATGAGGATGTTGTGGGGGATAAGGAGATACAAGAATGGGCTGCAGACATGCATGACAATGGATTCCCTGCTTTTAGAGAGGTTTCTGCTGGTCGTGGCTTTCCAAAAAGCATCGACAGTAAAAATTCTTTGATTGATACCTGCACTTTGATCATGTTCACTGGCTCTGCACAGCACGCTGCTGTCAATTTCGGTCAGTTTGAAATTTATGGATACGTGCCAAACGCTCCTTTTGCACTCCACGAGCCTCCACCAACTAAGAAGGGACAAACAGATATCGATTTCATCTTGAGAGCTCTACCAAAGAGTCAAACAACACTTTTGAGTATGACTCTCGTCTCAAGCCTTGTCCAGCATAGTTCTGATGAAGTAAGTGGCATCTGAAACTGCAATCCATGCAAGGAATTGCAAGCAACAAAATAAAATACGATGTTTTCTGTTGAGCTATATCTTTATTTCCGTTCTCATTTCTCTAACTAGGTATTCCTTGGTGGATTTCCTAAACACTGGTACACTGAGGGGGAAGAGGTTGCTGCAGAAAAGAAATTCCTCAATAACCTAAAGACACTCAAGGAAAAATTGACAAAAAGGAATGAGTCACTTGAAGTCCCTTACCCATACATGTTGCCCAGTCGTATTCCAAACAGCATCACTATATAAGTGATGCGTCATTGATTACTGGATCTCCCTTTGGTTTATTTTGGACAATCCCTTTCAATTATAGTGTGTTTACTTAGAGACTTTGTTTTTGATTTTTTTGCTTGAATATTTTGCTAAAATATAATTGCTGCAAGTAGTAAGTATAACATTTAGGAATAATAATTATTGATTTGTTGATCAGCTTTACAATGAAATGATTAAAAATGATACAAAATATTTCACCATTTGATAGTTAATGCACTAGTGAATTTCTCAATAGCATGGTATTTAGTGTGTAGCATAGACTGTACCTACAAGTATATATAATTTTAAAAAAATTAAAAATTATTCCAAAATACTTTGTCACTGTTGCTGTCTTCTAGCCATTCCCTGCAAGAAATCCATACATTATGCATGCACAAAGCTATAGAACACTTTCTTACTTGTAAATGAGGTCCAATTTAGGATTTTCTGTTGGTTTCCTAGGCCTTAAAAATACAACAGTACAGTTACAAGCAAATAAAAAGCTACAATTAGACCAACCTCAATGATTTGTAAGCAGCATCCACATTTTGAAGATTTTCTTTACTCAGCAACTGTGAGGCACTGCCCTTGTCTTCTTCATTCTTTATCTGTCCTCCTCCATTGAGGCATCCAGAGGGACACGCCATCACTTCAATGTAATGATACCCACATCTCTTACGCTTTAGCTTCTGCACTACATTTTGAATATTCCTGAAACCATAAGCAGCTGCAAACTTCAACACCTCTTTACCATCAACCTAATATACAAATATAAGATTATAATATTGTGCATGCACTGCATACTTGAAGTGAGCACTCATAAAAGTCTTTATTTCTCAACACTTTGTATTCAATTGAATCAACAGTCTCTCCAAAAAGCTGTGAAATCACATAAGAATTAATGATATTATCACTTACAGAGCTTACCTCTTTACAGGCATACTTAAATATATAGTTCAAATATCCACCCTAAAGAAAGAAAAAAAGCAAATGTTACTTTAGTTTGGAAAATATCAAGATTTACTGAGCCACTGCCTTCATGGCTAACTAACTGGTCTTTATCATAACTACAGAACCTAACCAATGAATGAATGAATGAATGAATGAGTGATTAATACTCACGGTTCATCCATTGGTGTGAGTGGTAACGAATCAATGTCAACTTCATGTTCGTTAAGCATGATTTCGACTTCACCTATCACAAAAATTATTTGAAAATGTTTTCTCATTTCTCGTCCTAACCTGTAGTTATAACACAGTCAACGTCACGAGTGCTATAGAGGTCATGATAAAAGTCTTCACGTGAAGCCTCGAGTTTCTTATCATAGCAAGGCATGATAGTCACATGATACACTTGATCAGGCCTACATGTATACAGACACATACAATACAAGTTCAATGAACAACACAACTTCCAGTGTACTTGTATTAACCAATGCACTAGAATATAGTTTAATAAATAAAATAAATAATTGTTACATTTTACGATGGGCCTTGGCTAGATGGTCTTTAACGAGAGATCCCATTATTTGCTGAGGGGATTTGGTTGTGCTAATGTAAGGAAGGATGAAGTCACCATGAGTCTTTTCAGCATAACAAACCCAACCTGAGGAGAGATGCAATGTGTGCAATAGAAGTCTTCATTACATTTTGAAAATTAGAGTATAGATTCTAATCAAAATTAATTTTTATGAATTTTTAAAGTTGTTCCGAAATCAGGCCAAAGTCCCTGACCTATATATAGTACAGGGTTGATGGCCGAATTTCACCAAAAATGAAAAGTAGGAAATTCTCCATTTTTATAATTTTTTCTGATATAAATACATGTTTTTATGTTGCGTAGAAAGTTTGAATTGATTCCAATTAAGATTAGATTTTTTACAATTTTTTAAAGCTGTTCCAAAATTGGGCCAAAGTCCCTGTACTATATAATACAGGGTCAACACCCAAATTTCACCAAAAATAAAAAGTAGGAAATTCTCCATTTTTATAATTTTTTCTGATACAAATACATTTTTTAATGTTATGTAGAAAGTTTGAGCTGATTCCGATCAAGATTAGATTTTTTACGATTTTTTAAAAGCTGTTCTAAAATCGGGCCAAAGTCCCTGTACTATAGTACAGGGACAACGCCCAAATTTCACCAAAAATAAAAAATAGAAAATTCTCCATTTTTATATTTTTCTGATACAAATACATGTTTTTATGTTATGTAGAAAGTTTGAGCTGATTCCAATCAAGATTAGATTTTTTACGATTTTTTAAAGCTGTTCTAAAATCGGGCCAAAGTCCCTGTACTATAGTACAGGGACAATGCCCAAATTTCAACAAAAATAAAAAGTAGGAAATTCTCTATTTTTATAATTTTTTCTGATACAAATACATGTTTTTATGTTGTGTAGAAAGTTTGAGCTGATTCAGATCAAGATTAGATTTTTTACAAATTTTTAAAGTTGTTCCTAAATCAGGCCAAAATCACTGGGTCATTGGTTAAATTTATGCTCAAAATTTTAGCTAAATTTTGTCAAAACAACTAGGACAACTCTCCAATTTTATTAAGTCTTCTGATAGTATACCTATACCAATTAAAAAATAATTTATTCTAACCAGGGCAGGCTGAAGCTAGCATTGGTATAGAGCCAGGGTTTGAAGATCCTTGAAAACGTCTCACAAACTCTTGAGCACTGACAATAATAATAAATTAAAAATCACACAATATAATATCAGTGCTAATAAATAAAATACCTTTCTATTAATGAAATATCACGAGAAAAAGTGATGTCAAAGACAAAATCAACGCCTAATTGTTTGAGAAAGGAGACCAGCTTTGAAGACATCTAAAGAGAAAGGAAGGAGAGAAAAAGGAGAGAAGGGACGATATTAATAATTGAAATGGATGCCATTTACAACCTCTTCCATTGTCTTTTTAAAATTAACTGCTAAAGAGGCAACAGACTGAGGAGAGACAGACACAACGACAAGTTTCTCCTTCCCACCCTCTTTCTCCTTTACTTTTTTCTGCAAATTAGCACATACTTGTACCACAAATCAGTAATTTTTCTTACATTTTCCTCAAGTATTTTATAAAGTTCTTCTTGACTCTGTTCAGCAATGAGTACACTCTCAGCTGATGTGATACAACCACTAAGTGAAAAATATAAACATAAAAGTAAAAGGCTTTTATATTATAAATCCATAGAAACAAGCACCCAAAACTAAACCCAATTATCTATAATCTTAGAAATATATTTCAAAATTTTTATCTCTCAGCTACAACATTTTACCTGCATGCTAAGCAATCGTTTAGTGTTATAACTGCTTTCTCCAGTTTCTTCTGAGCTCCAGTCTGCAAAAAACTAAAGTCAAGCATACAGTGAAGAAAAAAGAGCCCACTTTATCAATCTCAATGTAGCTTCCATCATTTTCAATCTTGATTGCAGAGGAGCCCTTTGTTGCATTTGCTACTCTATCCACTTTCACTGGTTTGATGCACTCCTATATAAAGAATAGCAGTCATAAAATCAGAGGGAGCAAACCTGGGAAGGAGTTATGAAGTCATCCAGATCAGTCAACTTCAGTGCACCACTAAATTTCGCCATTTTATCCGTATATTCGAAGTATACATAGAATATACGGAACCACAATAAGAGACCACGCCCTTTCATAGTAGACTCGACACTGCTGTCCCCCCTCTCTCTTTGCTGCATACTTTATTTTAGGTTGACAGATCCTCTCGTGACTTGAAAAGGATGTGGAGAGCTGGAGTAGACATTAAGACTATTACTAACACTGAGGACGATGACGATTGGGAAACTGATCCAGACTTTGTGGTAAAAAGGCCACACATGATTACACTGTGTACATAATGTCTTCCCCCTCTTCTTTTTCTCTCCTGTGTATGTATAGAATGATGTGTCAGAGCAAGAGCAAAGGTGGGGGGCAAAGACTGTCTCTGGTTCAGGAAGACAGGAAGGAGTGAGGTAACGGAGGAGGAGTATAGAGGGGGGTTGAATTGTAAAAGTTTAGTTTGGATAGATTAGACTGTTTTTCTATCTGCATAAAACATTGTTTACTTTTGTGCCTAGTCACAATAAATCATAATGCGCACATTTTATAAATACACATGAGGCGTATATGTACTTTCAGTTCTATATGGCTTATGGTCCTCTGTTAGTTTTGTAATTGTTATTCTTCTCTCACTCTCTTTATTAGTACATATGTTATCTGTAGCTAGTTCTTTATCTCTGTCTCTCTTTTAGTATGAAGGCTCTTCGATCAGATGTACAAAAGGAAGACAAGGAAGTTAAGAGCACTTCGGTACACGCCTCTCAAAAAGATGCAGCAAAAGGTTTCGGTGGAAAATACGGTGTATTGAAAGACAGACAAGATAAGGTAACGAGTTTCATCACACAACAGTAACTACTGTACATGTACATGTATGTGTATATGATGTATTTGTGTTTATTGTACGTGTATACGCACATGTATTTTTACATGTGTATTTTATTTGTAGTCTGCTGTTGGTTTTGAGTATCAAGCTGATCTCAGTAAGCATACTTCACAGACTGATGCTTCCAAAGGGTTTGGGGGCAAATATGGAGTACAGAAGTCCAATAAGGACAAAGTATGTAGCACATAAGTACACATGATACACTATGATACACATAGACATAGACGTACACATGCATCAGTAATCAGTTTTACCTTGTATAGTCAAGTCAAGGATAGTTGAATTCTCTATTTCCACTCCAACTCACTCACTAATTTTGTTCATTTATTTTGCGCCTATTGTCACTTTGTTATCTGTGTTTACATTACTAAATGACTCAATTACACTGAATTATATTGTATTACTGTATATTATAGAGTGCTTTGGGCTGGGACTATCAAGCTGATCTCTCCAAGCACGAGTCACAGACTGATGGTGCTAAAGGTTTTGGAGGAAAGTTTGGAGTTCAGAGAGTGCAAGACAAAGTAACAACAGACTGATCATTGAATATACACAATGTACATGTATCTAATCTCTTTACACACACACACACACACAACCTTAGTCTGCTGTTGGCTGGGACCATCAGGAGCAACTGTCAAAGCACGAGTCACAAACCGATTCTTCAAAAGGTTTTGGAGGAAAATATGGAGTACAGAAAGTTCAAGATAAGGTACAGGAGCTACAGTACCTTGTATTGCTCTGACTCACAGCCATTTTGTTGTGTTTTAGTCTGCAGTTGGTTGGGACCATCAAGAGCAGCTCTCAAAGCATGAGTCACAGACTGATGGATCTAAAGGATTCGGAGGAAAATATGGTGTACAGAAAGTCCAGGATTCAGTAAGACACAATGCCCCCCCTCTCTCTCATTTTTTTGCCAACTTTGTTTAATACTTTCTTCTTTTTTGATAACACTTTTTCTCCCCTTTCTTCTCCTCTCTAGACTGCAGTTGGTTGGGACCACCAGGAAGAACTCTCAAAGCACGAGTCACAGACAGACGCTGCCAAAGGATTCGGTGGCAAGTACGGAGTGCAAAAGGACAGACAGGACAAATCTGCCGGAGGATTTGACGACATGCAAGATGTGGGATCCTCTTACAAGACTGATCGGGGTGGGGCTAAGGGTCAGACTGGAAGTATAAAAGCTCGTTTTGAGCAAATGGCCAACAAAGAGCAAGAGGATGCATCACGTCGTGCCGATGAAGAGAAGCAAAGAAGACTCGCTAGAGAGAAAAGAGAGAGAGAGGATCAGGAAAGGAGGCAGAGGGAGCAAGAGGTAATGGGGCATGTCTAATTGTTGTTGGGTTAAGATTTGGCAACTTTCAATCATTGTTGTCTGACATTAATGAACCTGTTCCTGCATCATTAGTATGGTCACTTAAAGGAAACAGGCTTTACATAAATTACATGCAATATTAATTTTCGGCTAGTGGCTTTATACATGTACATAGTCCATAAATAGTTTTAAAAGACACCAATTTACATGTACAATATGAACAAAAGAAAAGACAAAATTAAAGACAACTTACATTCCACATTTAACACATTAGGAGAGGGAGCAGAGAGAGCAAGAAGAAGAGCAACAGCAGCAAGAAGAAGAAAAAGAGGAAGATGATGGAGGATATCAACAAGATACAGAACCGACTTATGAATTGGCAGGAGAGGAGGAGCCACTAGAAGAAGAGCAGGGGATTTACGACAATACAGCCGTCGAGGAACAGCCAGAGGAAATAGACCAGCCCCTTTATGATGATGTGGGAGCCCAGGAAGAACAGGAGAATATATATGATACAGCTACTGATGACCCACCTGTAAGTACTAATAGTATTAGTAATAATGCATGTACACTGTATGTTAATGACTTAATGTACATCAGTTAACCTTGATAGTAACACCATAATTTAGTTGCTTATAATTATTATTATTTTTTATTTTTATTATTAGGCAGCTGAAGCTGATTATGGAAAGAGAGCCCAAGCATTGTATGACTATCAAGCTGGTAAGACTACTTCAAGAGAGAAGGAAAAAGAGTAGAGAAGAAGTGATAATGTGTGCTTAGAGTTGCTCCAAAATTGGCCCAAAGTCCCTGTACTATTATAGTACAGGGACTTTAGCCAAATTTCACCAGAAATGAAAAGGAGAGAATTTTATATTTTTATAATTTTTTCTGATGCATATACATGTTCTTATATTGTGTAGAAAGTTTGAGCTGATCCCAATCAAAACTGGATTTTTTATGAAATTTAAAAGTTGCTTCAAAATTGGGACAAATTCCCTGTACTATAGTACAGGGTCGATGGCCAAATTTTGCCAAAAATGAAAAGAAAAGAATTCGTTGTTTTAATAATTTTTTGTGATACATATACATGTATTTATGTTGTGTAGAAAGTTTGAGTGGATTCCGATCAAAATTGGATTTTTTACAAAGTTTTAAAGTTGCTCCAACTAAAGCTTGTTTACATGCTTTTCGGCAAATTGTGGTGAAACCTATCTACATGTATATGCATTGAGTTTACTAATAATTATTTTTTATGATGCAGAGGGTGAAGATGAGGTCACATTTGATCCGGATGACATTATAGAGGATGTGGAAGAGGTCGATGAAGGATGGTGGATGGGCACTGTCAATGGAAAGAGAGGTCTCTTCCCTTCTAATTATGTTGAACTCATTTAATTTTTTAAAAGACATTGTCTTGATTTTATAAGGTTTTGTGTCGTGTTTTCACTCACTCACTCGATAATTTTGAGGTTTTTGGTTATTGCTTCTTAGTATTGTTATTATTACTATTATTATTATTATTATTATTATTATTATTATTATTATTATTATTATTATTATCATTATTTGCTGTATTATTATTATTACATTTGTAAACTTTTCTTTTTAGAGAACAACAAAAATATTATTATAATAAAAATAATGGAGGCGGAGTTTTTAAGGGTGTGGCTAAAATGGCAACCAATAAAAAGGAGAAAGACTCAGAGAGAGGAGCTCCTAAATGGTGGAAGGAAGGCCTCATTGGATTGTGCGCAGGCTCTTTGTTTGGAGCAACCAGTGTAGCCATAGGCCAGCCCTTTGACACTATCAAGACTAAAATGCAAACCCAAACAGGTTATCAAAACAAGACTATGCTCCAGACTGTAAGAGCAACCCTTAGATCTCAAGGACTGCTGGGGTTTTACAGAGGCTCCCCGTTCCCTTTCTTTGGCTCCACCTTCTACCGTTCGGCTCAATTTGGTGCTTACGAGTCTATATACAGCTATCTTGAAAGCAACTATGGTAAAAGCAACAGACTGTTCAAAGAATACAGATTGCATGCATTGCTGGGAGGGCTAGGAGGTGCAACTGCTCGAGCTGTTATCGAGACACCACTAGAATATGCTAAAATAAGACTACAGACCCAAAGAGACTGGAAACTCAGAGACGTATATAAAGGCTTTGGGATCACGTGGCTACGAACAACAGTCTTTCTCAGCTCTTTCTTTTATCTAAGAGAAACAGCAAAGACACGATACCCTGAAAAGCTATCACATCCTATCATAGGACCTTTCCTTTTAGGTGGAGTAGTGGCTACTTTTGCATGGTGGGTTGTATGGCCACTAGAACTAATGAAGTCTCAGATCCAAGGCTCTTACGTGGGACATGAAAGTCTGTCGGTTCTGCAGAGGATGAGATTAGTAGTGTCTGAGAGAGGACTGGCTGGTTTGTATCGCGGAGTACTTTCTGGGACTCTACGGAGTTTCTTTGCTAATGGGATTGGTTTGATTGTGTATGAGTATGTGCAAAGACGTTTTTCAAATTGGAACTAGCTTGTTTGCAAAATGGAAATTTCTGTAATAATTTTACTCTCTTTTTTTGGACAATAAAAAAGATTATATATCAACACAATTAATTTTATTATTTATTATTATTGTAAAAAAATATAATCAATTCTATATAAATTACTTGTTTATTAATAATCCTGCAAATTTGCAAAGTCTAAATTCCATCCTGCAT